CGCTTTCCGCCGCTCGTATTTTTTTTTGTTTCGCGCACGTAAATCGAAACGTACCGCTGGCGGAAAGGAAGTCGATGTGGATGTGGGAGGGTGGAGCGTTTTAACGTAAGGCGCAAATTGCGAGGAACAGAACGGCAGAAATGGTTCGCTTACCTCAGCGCAACATAAAGTTCAGGAGCATCGAGGTGGAATAAAGTAATAACTGTAATTGATCCGATAAGTTATTACCAGGCCGCGACGAGTTCGCTACCGTAATCTCGGCGGGCAGCGGGAGGATAGGGCGGGTTATAGGGGCGCTTCTGGAAAATACTCGACCCGATTATTATTAAAGCCGCGTTTCCACAGCTCGTATAGCTCGGGGGCGAGTCATCGCGAATCCCCGTTAACGCTTACGGACTTTAATGTCCTACCTTCATTGTTAATACGTACAGCTGTGTGTTTATATATATATATATATAGTCAACGAGGCACGTCGGGACGTTCCTCGCGGATCGCTTTTGCGACCTCGCGAGGCACCTTTGGACATTATTCTCCGTGGTTGAATGGACGAAAGGAGGTCAAACTTTTAGACAAGGTCGAGGAAAACAGGGGGATTATTAATGATACTGAGGTTGGTGCTATCGCGGTCGTCCGATGGATAGGGGAAGGTAGTAGGGAGGGGTAGGGGTTAGGGTTGGTTGGGAATGGCGATAGAGGATAGGTATGGCAGATATATATATACTATACACTGGTACCTATATAGTCGATAGGGCTCGCGACCCTCGCGAGACCCAAGGGCGGGTTCGGAACAAGGAGGAAAACGGGTGGCATCGCCGGGTGGAACTTTGTGAATCGCGTCTACTTATTCACGTCCGCGAGGAGATGGAATGCCCGTCCAAAGACAGTGGGTCTAAGGCATCGGATAAGATATTAGAGGGGTGCCAGTATATCCGCCGAGGAGAGAGCCCATAGTGCGAAGGTCAGGAGCAACTTCTGGATAAGTTTCCGAGCGTTCGTCCCTTGTGATTCCCCGGTCCTTGCGCAGCGTATATCAAACTGCCTTACCAGGTTCTCCGCGCCTGACAAACTTATGTCTCCAATAGCTAGTCTATAAATAAATCCCAAGCCCGGCACCCCTGCCCGCCCAGGGGACTCAGGACTTCCATCCAGTCTATAGGGGGCGAGCTGATGTTGTTGGAGGAAAAATTGAGAAAAATCGCCCCACGTTCGTTCGTATCAATAAAGTAATTACTCCGGGAGAAACTTTCATTAGCAGTTAGCCAAGGTTCCGAGTTGCCTCGTAGATCCAATACATCCCGTTCGCCGTTCACGTAACTCTTCGGGGCAGAGTTGAACAAATCGTAGGGACCTTCCGGCGAATCACTGATCCTGCGACGGACGTTCCGCTTAGCGCAGTTCGAAATTTTATTTTATCTTCGACTCCCACCCCCCGACCCCCCTCCTGCCCCTTGAATGCATAATTGACCATCCACGCTACCCAAAGTCCTTCCATGTACCAAAGTACGAATCTCAGCATCTCAGTGGTCCAAATGGAATTGACTATGAAAATTTCACATCCGGGAAATTCGCGTTCCTAGATCAGTAGGTGGTAACTGCGGTGAACTTTCCCGTTGGCGATTAGGGGATGGTAAAGGCGTCTAATGACATTATTAAGCTCATTCGGTATAAGAGTGGACCGTTTCTACATGGTATAAAGGTGGGTGGCACGGTGATCCCCAGGATAGCAGTAAATTTGAGCTTCATAATGGAGGCTAACTGAAGTACGAGAGCAAGGAGGAAGAACGTTATTATGGTTCCTTCTGTGTATCCCGGCTTCTACCCTTTCCAAGGCGACATCCACTCTCCGACCCTCCCGCCCCTCTTCGCGGCATCCTCCGCGCTCCTCTCGTCCCCTGAATTACTCCCAAGATGTAGGTAAACTCGGGCGAGCATGTCCCCGCGAGCTCTCGCCAGCGAGTTCAGCAGAGCCAGTGTCGAGACCATGCCTCATGCGTTTTGTACACAAAGGCATCGCGGGACTCGTATATACCGGGCTGAGTGTACGGCTTGAATGTTGATTAAGATTCCTGGTAATTCTGCGAGTCACGATCTGGCGGCGAGTGTGGCTGCACTAATGTTG